GGCGATTGTTGGGGTTGGGATTGTTGGGGCGGCATATGCTGGTTGCGATGCTGTTTCCCATATAGGCGATTCAATCCAATCGCAGAGTTTAGTGCATCATATTTTCAGGATAAGGTCAAAAAGATACACTTAACATATAAGTAGCTTCTCTTAAAGATCCCCATCGTATCAGCATACTCATCTACATTCTTTTGTACAATTTATTTAGTCATGAAAAGTAAATGTTGTAAATATAACAAGGCACTGTAAGCTTTAATCATAGCATACTGAATGACTAAATATTTTAACAAGCAGTGAGTTGTAATAAGGAGCAGTGAGAATCATCTGGAATGGGGAATACTATCTTCAATATAGTATAGCATTGTTTCGAGTGGATGTCAGTTTTCTTTTTTTGGGTTGCTTGGCAATATTTGTTGGGCTTTTGGGCGAAAATGCAAATTGTTTTCTAGCGCGTCCCGTCGCCACAGTAGCTGAATTAAAGAAAGCAGCGTCACCCTTTTGTTTTTACCACCCCGTAAACCGAGCCATCACCATATATTCCCCGATTTCACCTGGCAACCGGTGTACTTTTCGATCAATGCCGATAACCTTTCATTTGCTGTCGATTCAGTTGAAAATGTTTTCTATTTTTGTTTACACAACGCGCCCGATGGCTGGCAAGCCGTTCTCGATCTAAAATCGAGCCAGCCAATATAAGTTATCTCAGCGCTGGAGGAGCCACAGTCCTCCAGAGTCTTTCAAGCCGAAATGCAGCTATTTGCGTGAGTCGGATATGGAAATCCCAGCTCTACTGAACCGAGACACAATTCAAACATCGCCAAGCCCCTTTTTCAGACCCTAAACTGGGCACATATTCCTCTTATAGCCGGTTTCAATTAAATCCCTCCCCGATCCGATGGGGCACTAAAACTTTTGCCTAAACAAAGGGCTAAATGGAACACTGAAACGAGCAGCGACAATGGAAAACAATTGAAAAACTCAATTTGTTGGTAATTTGTTTGGACGTGCGTGTCTCAGTATCTTTTTTTGTGCAATAACAATTTCAGAGCTTGGCACATTGCAAGCTATTTGTTGACTGCATAAAAAAGCAGTTGAATGAACTGAGAACGAGCTTTGATTGATATTTCGAAAGCCATATTGAGGGAATATTCTTAAGTTGGTGGAACAACAGCCAAACATCTCCAAGTCCAATAATGGCTTTCTTTGACAAATAAATTGGGGGGAAGTCTATTTCACCACTATTGTTTCCATGACTCCAATTTTCCAGTATAGGCGTTCCCAAAAAATGTAATTTTTAACTAACCTTCCACATTTATTCCTTTTGCAGTTTCTCCAAAATGGCCAAGTACTCCGGCAAAAAGTGCCGGCTGCTATCGATGATGTGGCTTACGGCGTTCTTCTTCTTCGTGGAGATCATAGTGGGCTATGTGACCAATTCGATGGCTCTGGTGGCGGATAGTTTCCACATGCTGGGCGACATCGCGGCCCTGGTCATATCATTCCTGTCTGTGAAGGTAAGTACCTGTCTTATCGAAAAATACAACTGTATCATACAACTCACCTGACTCCTTATCTCGACAGATGTCACCGAAAAAGTGGTCAAAGAACACCTTCGGCTGGGCCAGGGCAGAAGTCTTGGGTGCTTTGGTTAACGCCGTTTTCCTGGTGGCCCTCTGCTTCAGCATCACCATCGAGGCTTGCAAAAGGTGAGTGAGTGGTGGTAAGGTGGTCATCAGATAACATTTTTTGACAAAACCTACAAAAGATAAGATAAGCTTCAATTGGTGTCAATTTTGAATCATTGGCTAGCCAAGCGAAAACCTCTACTCAGTTATTAGAGCTATTAAATAGGATACATTTTTTCCCCCTTTTACAATAAATAAGAAACAAATTTAAAACCGATTGATTAAACTGTTTTGCAGTTTGTTTGCATTGATACTCATTGCTTATTTAATGTGGCTCTGTAATTATTAACTCGGATTATAACTCGCTCACTTTCAACTTCTTAACTCCCAATCGCAAACAGCTTTAATATTTCAACTGATTACGGATCGTTGATCCGTGCCCAAAACCCACTTATTTAATGATCTGACAGCAGTAAGCCGTATTATGAGCAAAAGGCTTGCCTTGGCATCGACATGTGTTAACGTGATTTGTTTAAATTTTCTTGAATTACTCGACTCCGTCTGTGAGTTAATTTGTTGTGATACATTCACGTTATATCGTCACCTTTCAGTCTGTTTTTGTGTCTTTATTCATTTACATTCCGATCACAATTTGTGAATATTTATCGAAAGCTTTACTACGAGGTGATTATTCTGCCAATAGCCACAGATTCCCTGCAAAGCTAGCTACACTGACAAAAATAAAAATCTAACTTAGGATTTTATAAGTGCTTTCGTTGTGTATTTTAATACCTTTAGAATAAAGTAAAATATATTCTTTTATCACAGATTCATTGAGGAGGAACCGATTCACGAGCCTGAACTGCTTGTCATCGTTGGAGCCTTGGGTCTTCTGGTGAATGTGATTGGACTTTGTCTGCTTTACGGTAAGACCAACTGATACAAATGAGAGTAAGCCGTTTTGCAACTTAATCCACATTGCAGAGCACGGCGGTCACCATGGACACTCACACGGCGGCGGACTCACCCGGAACCACAGCCGCCTGACTGAGTTGGCTAACATGGACGAGGGCGAGGATGAGCAGAACGACTTTGCCTATGAGAAGCAGAAGGAAAAGCAACCGGTCAAGAAGTCCAGCCATGGACACAGCCATGATCCCGGCCAGATGAACATGCGCGGCGCCTTCCTGCACGTTTTGAGCGACGCCCTCGGCAGCATCATTGTCGTAATCAGTGCTGTGGTGGTGTGGAAGACGGAGTGGAAGTACCGATACTACATGGATCCCGCTCTGTCCATCGTTCTGGTTGTCCTGATCCTCCACTCCGTGTGGCCGCTGCTGCGCGAGTCCGCTTTGATTCTGCTGCAAACGGTTCCCACCCACATCCAGGTGGACGCCATTCAGAAGAGGCTTCTGGAGAAAGTTGACGGCGTGCTGGCTGTGCACGAGTTCCATGTGTGGCAATTGGCCGGCGACCGCATCATCGCCTCTGCCCATATCAGGTGAGATTTTCTTGTTAAAAGAGTTACCACCTGCATAAAAATGGAATTAAAAAGTAAACATGTAGAAATTATTTGGAAAGCAAACTGATCCATCTTCCCTAAACATTGTAGGTGCCGCAACCTTTCAGAATACATGAAGATTGCCGAAAAGGTTAAGGAGTTCTTCCACAACGAGGGTATCCACTCCACCACCATCCAGCCCGAGTTCAGCGAGATCGAAGGCTGCAACATGTCCGATGGGACCTCCAGCATCAACATGAGCGGCTCCGACTGCTGCGCGTTGGATTGTCCCACTACGGATGAAGGATGTGTCAAGGCCACGTGCTGCCAAAACAATAACAAAGTGGTGAGTTTTCCTCGACTATATAGAACATGTAGAATAGTGTAATGATGTATAAACGTAAATTGCAGAACCAACTGCCCTCACCCACCAACTCGCCGTATCTATGCCGCCAGCGAAATGCCGCCCGACAGGCCGGCGATGTGGAGGCAGGTTCCCTGCTGGAGGCCACGTCCAGTGGCAACCAGGGAACCTCTGGCGGCGCCACCACAGGAGCGCCTGCGGCTGCGATAGGCGCCACGTCAACGCCGAAGAGCGATTTGGTTTGACGACAGCCACTGCAGGCGCAACAACATGTACACTTTGCCACGACCAAAACGGAAACCGCAACCGCAACAACAAAGGCCGCCACAAAAGCAGCAACAGCAGCAACATCAATACGTGATATAATGTACGAGCCAAGCGCCAACAACCAAGTGGTCTCCAGCGCACAGGTGGACGCCAATCTCGGCCTGACAGTGACCGCCCAGCGGCGACGGGAGCTTCAGTTGCAGGCCGAACAGCAGTATCAGGAGCAGGTGTCACCACTGAGTACCAGGAATGGCGACGAGGTGGCACTCTAATTAGGAGCCTAGTTTAACGTTAATTGTGCAAACAGCTGCAATGGAGACTGGTCTGCCATGGTGCAGCTTTCGTGTTTTTAGTGTTTGTATCATTATTTGTTCTTAGTGGAATTTAGACGTAAATGAGAGTGACACAAGTACGGTCGACTGACCGTTGAGCTAGTTTAATTAAATTAAAATCAAAAGTGAAAAAAGAGAACACGATTATCTATTAGTGCAGAAAACACAAAGTTTAAAAGAACATGCAGTTACGGATGTCATTCATATACTATATACTATGTTAAACCTATTCGATTGTAGTTAATTGCATTAGTCTAGATCGATAAGTGAGCCCAACCAGCAGAGAATACATATGTACTACTACGTTTTTTACATTTTGAGAAAGTTTATACATACGTGAAATAAATTATTGTATTCAATAGTTACCTACGGATTAGCAAATGACTAAACACAGTTTACAAAATACATGTATGTTTTTGTGTATGGTTAGGCATAGTCCCTAAATCTTAGTAGTTGTAATGCTATCTGTAAATGTTTTTACCACAACCGAGAACCTAGTTTCTATTTAAGTTTAATCGTATCGAACTTTATAATGACTATATACATTTAATGCAAACATCATGTATTATTTTATGATCTGCATTAACTTTCACATGTATATGTTTGTAAATAAACGCCAAACATAATCAAACCAACCGAATGTACTGTAGATTTGCTGAAATACCCATTTGAGGAGTCCTAAAGCAAGCTGTCAAGTGCACACGATGGATGGTTTTCAAAGTTCACCGGTATCTCATTCCATTATTCGTTTTGTAGATTGCACCAATACGCAAGATTGCGAGCTCTGTCTCGACCTCCCAGGAAGTCAACGAAACTCAGATGAGTACGTGTGCGATATCACAGTAGGAAATGCATCACAAGGGATGTTGGAACATACTGAAAAAGACGGCTGGGAATGCAAATGTGGGTAGTCCTATATAAGCGTTCCCATAAGCTATCGAGACCATACGTCTTCAAGAACTCAAGTTAAATACGTCTCATTGAGAACATCAGTTGCAATGGTGCAGATCAAGTTCCTTTTCGTGTTCCTGGCTGTGATGACAATTGTTGTCCTGGCGGCCAACATGGCTGATGCCGATTGCCTTTCCAGAAAATACAAGGGTCCCTGCGCCGTCTGGAACCATAAGATGTGCCGTCGTATTTGCAAGGAGGAAGGACGCATAAGTGGCCACTGCAGTGCCAGCCTGAAGTGCTGGTGCGAAGTATGCTGAATGCACTAAATTTTAAACAAATATTTTACTAGAAATATAGGCGCCAAACCTTTGGCGTTAACGTTTATTACTCATACGTACTGTTGTCTCTTAATTTCCTTTATGTAAGTGTGGTAGGGTCAGTAAGTGTTTACATACATCTTGATTTCGAAAAGAGGGCAATTATAGGTAAATAACTCTTTATGATAAGGATGCGTTTTTAAATCACCTAATGTCAATAAATTACACACATAGCACTTATGTCACGAGTATTTCTATCGTTAATTCCCGAGAAGCTTATCGATTGCTAGCATTATGTTTACTATCTTAGTCAAATAGATCATCTAAGAACCTGTATCCCTATATAAGCGTAGACTCCAGTTGTCGGGACCACACGTCTTCAACAAGTCAAGTCAAATACCAGACTCATTGAGAACATCAGTTGCAATGGTGCAGATCAAATTCCTGTTTGCTTTCCTGGCTATAACGACCATCGTCCTAATGGTGGCCAACACAGCTTCGGCCCGTGATTGCCTATCTGGAAGTTTCAGTGGTCCTTGCTGGGCCTGGAGTGGAGAGCAGTGCCGTCGCCTCTGCACGGAGGAAGGACGTGTCAGTGGACACTGCAGTGCCGGCCTGCAGTGCTGGTGCGAAGGATGCTGAATGCACTGCATTTCAAAAGTGTATTCTCTATATTGCATTACGAGCACATATGTGTAATAAATATGCTGTTTAGTCTATCACAAATACCTACCGTTGTCTCTTAATTTCATTTTATAGGTAAGTATACAAAAGTAAACAAAACACAAAAGTGCATCGAGAATTATTAAGCTTAGTGACACTTATCTGCCAATGATAACGATGAATATTGAAATCAATTAAAATAATCAGGAATTCAAGCCCAAAAGTATGCTCTTAGTATGCTCTTGTGAAAAGTATATTGCAGCTATTTGCATTTTCACCTTTATGCTAATCGGTTGACATACAGATTCTGTGCCTATATAAGCGCGCACTCAGGTTCAAGAAACGCAAATCTAAGGATTGTAACCAGAAGCTCATTACAAAAATGGCTCAGATTAAAGGCTTGTTCGCTGTGCTCGCTGTGGTGGCCATTGTCCTAATGGCCGCCAACTCGTCTTCGGCTGTGGATTGCCAGTCTGGAACTTTCAGTGGTCCTTGCTGGGCCTGGGATGGAGAGCAGTGCCGTCGCCTCTGCAGGGAGGAAGGACATGTCAGTGGACACTGCAGTGCCAGCCTGAAGTGCTGGTGCGAACAATGCTGAGGCCCCTCAGCTCTCAACGTGTTCATATTCAGGATTGTCCACACATGCTTGATGTGTTTTTTATTGTTTTGAAAAAGAAAATAAAGGATATACATTGCGACAAATAAAAAAGTTTTATTTCTACACAACATATGGTTCTTTAGTAAGCATAAATTTACTTACATAAATGATTTAACTTATCTGATTTAGCTGCTAAAAACAACAATCCTGAAGCATCACTGCATAATTAGATATCGAAATAATATAATATAATTAGCATCTTAGAAAAAACAGTCATAGACTATTTCAGTCCTAACAAGGGTTTGAAAGGCAAATTTTCTTTTCTGAACTCAAAATTTCATTTGCCAGCAGCAAAATAACTGGTTGTTCAAGTTGTAGTTCACTGTATGGGAAATAAATACATATTGATTTGTTAATATTTCAAATAAATCAAACATGTTATAGCGGCAAGAGCAAGGTTGGGTTTTGAATCTTGTTCTGGATTTTCCTTGGTTACTCGACAGTTCTACAATTTATGCATAAATTTGCATATTCCAACTGGTTTAATTAATTTCCTAGTAGTCACGTGATAAATAACACATGCACATTGCATAAAAACGATGGCAGCGGATAATAAATAAGCATTTCCCGGAACTGAATATATAGAATAAATTAGAAAATCTACGCATTCTTACTTAACTTCTAACTAAGAATATTGTCACTTTTAATAAAGAAAACTAACTTTTTTCAGTTTTCCTCGGTTGTATCCTTTACAAAAATGATCGTTGCTTTAAGACGAACACTTTTTTGAGTCAGTTTTCGTCCCTCGCAGCTTTCGAAGAGCAGCACGCACCTGATCATCGCTCGCGGTTATTAATATTTTCGCCACTAATCACCAGAGACAAGTCCACAATTAGTGGCACAATTAGTGCTTAGTGACATCTTGAGTCACTATCAGTGATAGTAACGTGCCAGTGCAGTGATCTTAAAACTATCAAATTTAATTAAATTGTGCTCCGCTGTCCAACGGCCACGTGCCGGCAAGCTTAACACAACATCCGTTGGAAAGCTTAACAAACATCTGTGAGGAGCTTACCATTTGGTTCCAGCAGCAGATAAGTTCTGGCCTATGTATCAGATAGAAGCTTTTAGTTTCTATTCTGCCCCAAGATCAATTGATATTATTGCATACTCTTAGGCGTGCGATGAAACCCGGACAATTTGACAAGCCGCAGTCAACGACTTTTTTTTTTTTTTTTTTTTTTTTTTTTTTTTAAATGTTTATTATTATAAAGCGACGAATCCGTACATGCAGTACTAGTACCATAACATTGCAATTAAACATATAAATAATATAACCAAACTTCTCACTTATCGTGGGAAGACTAACAACAGAGTCTCAAACGTCGAGGGGGTCTTTAAAGCTGTCCAATTGTTTTGGCAAAGCCCTTTCTTTTAAGCCTTCTTAGAGGCCTGGCAGGGAGTAGGCGTCTTGCTAGCATGCTGTGGTGTCTTTTAAGCCTATCACTGTATCTGCTTGTGTGCCTTGAGATCTGTTCTTCCACTGTATGCAGATTAAGGTCCCGATGAAGGGTTGAGCTACGTACATAGTATGGGCAGTTGGTGATGGCACGCATTGCACGATTTTGCAAGACCTCAATGCGTTTATAGTTCGATTTTGCAGCAATACCCCAGATCTGCACTCCATATAGCCAGATCGGGGCTATACAGTGGGCGTATACTGCCCTTTTGGCTCTAAGTGTCATGGTGCTTCTTCTGTTGATCAACCATCGCAGTTGTTGCATTCTCTGACCGCATCTCCGTGCCGCAGCTTTTAAGTGTGGGCCAAAGGTCAACCGTTTGTCAAGGGTGATCCCAAGGTATTTAGCCTGCAGAGGTTGTTCTAGGGTTACGCCATCAAATTGTATGGGTGGTGTGCGCCTAATGAGAGTCTTCAAGGTGAAACAAGGATTGATGGTCTTATGTGGATTTACCTTTAAGTTCCATCTTTTGCACCATGCAGCCAAAGTATTGAGATACTCTTGGAGGCCACGTGCTGCCTCAGTGCAAGAACTGGAGCTGTATAACAGTGCGATATCGTCAGCGTAAGTGGCGAGTAGGGCCTTCCTGGGAGCTTCCATATGGTGCATATTTGGGCAAGGCAAATCCGCGGTAAATATTGAGTAGAGCAGCGGGCCGAGGACGCTGCCCTGCGGAACTCCAGCTCTCATGTAGCAAGGGGTTGAGTAGGTGCTTCTGACCCTGACCATGAACTTCCTATCTTCCAGGTAAGATTTCAGGACTCCATAGTATGGTGCTGGAAGCAGCTTTTTTATTTTGCAGAGTAGGCCGATATGCCAGACTCTGTCAAATGCTTGCTGCATGTCAATAAATACAGCATTGCAGTATTCCAAGTCGTCAAACGCCTGAATAATGTGCTTAACCAGTCTGTGAACCTGCTCCACAGTGCTGTGTCCCTGTCGAAATCCAAACTGGTGATCTGGGAGGATACGGCGCTCCTTAATAAAGTCACCTAGTCTGTTGGCAATCAGCCTTTCCCATATCTTGGATAGCGAAGACAGCAGACTTATGGGCCGATACGATTCCGGATCCTCTTCAGGTTTCCCAGGCTTATGTATCATGAGAATTGCTGCCATTTTCCACTGCTTTGGGAAGGACTGCACCCTAAATATAGCATTAAATATTTTCGCCATGTATAGGATGGCTCGGAGAGGTAGCGCTTTTAACGTGGCATTACAGACATTGTCGATGCCAGGAGTCTTCTTTATTGGCATTGATTTAATGACTTCGGCAATTTCCTCAACCCTGATTGGTTTAATTGGTAGCGACATTTGTAGGGGTATCTCTAGGCTGTCAAGCGTCTCTCGATTCTGCTCCATTGTAGCGAATTGGTAATGGGTGAACCTAGTCTCCAAATGATTTGCAAAGGAATTGGCCTGTTCCTCCTCGTTTTTAGCAAGTTCACCTCCCGGGCATCTAATGGGTACCTGTCTGAACGGTTGTCTTTTGAGGGATTTGGTGGACTTCCAGAGTGAATACCCAGCATCCACCGTATAGTCCATAGAAGCCAGCTTCTGCTCAAAAAAGATACTTCGAAGGTCTCTTACCACATTTCGTAGTTGTTTTGCAGCACGGTTCCATAAGATGCGGTCCCAGGGATCTTGAGATCGGATTGCTCGCCTTCTGAGTCTCCTTTTCTGTGTCAGGAGCTCTCTAGCCTCTCTTGTTAGGGATATTCCATAGGGGGTGCCTGTCCGAGGAACAGAAGGCGTAGATGCAGTCGCAGCCCTGTGAATACTTTGCGTAAGGTGATCAACAGCCATTTCAATTTCTTCACCAGAATTTAGCGTGATGTTCAACGGGATCATGCTCTCCAGTTGTTGACTAAAAGCGAGCGGGTCAGTGTGCTTGTTGACTAATCGTGGACTTGGATTCACATGGGTACTATCTGTCACAATACTGATGATCAAAGGCAAGTGATCGGAGTCCAGATCCCAACTTTGTGTTATACTTGTTAGGGAATCTGGTATACCATGATGCACCGCGAAGTCAATGCAGGAAGGCGTATGACTGGGTACATAAGGATACCTGGTTGGCGAACCAGTTGCAAGTATCTTAGCTCCAGTGATAGAGATGGCTTCCGCTAGCTCACGCCCCCGGGGTGAATTGTAGGTGTCGCCCCAAAGCCAGTGTCGGGCGTTCCAGTCGCCACCAATCATATACCGTTGGCCGCAAGAGCGTATTGTGTCAGTAAATTGTCTTTCGTCGATACTAACACTGGGAGGACAGTAAATGGCGCCGAACTGCACGTCACCCAGTCCTGTAGCTACTTTTACTGTAGACATTTGTATGCTGCGTGTCTCTATGACCCTTTGCGGGAAATGGCGAAGAGTTGTCCTAACGAACACGGCTGCTCCACCAACGCTATTATTATTTTGCGATGGCCTAAATGCTGGATAGAAAGCATAACCATATATCTTAACAGTATCCCCTCTTTTAATTCTAAGTTCCGTCACAAGAAGAATGTCCACGCTATTATTGTGCGCGTAAAGCTCAATATCTTTAGCTTTTCTTGAAATGCCGTTGGCATTCCAAATAAGAATCTTTAGTGGATTCATTGTGGGTGTGGAGCGTTGTTAGAAAGCTGGTAGGTATGTTCATTCCCAGCTCCTTGCTTTAACATGGTGGTTATTTCAAATACCATTCTTTCGAGCTTTTCAAGTCGTTGATTGGTTTGATTTCTGTGATGTTGCTGATCTTGTTGCTGCTGTTGCAACCACATAAGAAACTGATGTTGTTGTTGTTGTTGCATTTGCTGCTGCCATTCTTGGAACTGTTGTTGTTGCTGTTGTAACAATGCTTGGACGTCAAGTGAATTATTTTGCTGAGTGTTCAGTCGTTGTTGCTGCGATAACTGTTGCGTTTGTAAGTTATATAAACGTCGCTGAGCTGGTCCATCCTTGGAGGGAGTTGTATTAGAGTATTCTTTTGCTACTGTGGCATAGGATACTTTTGTATTTACCCCAGGGCCTATAGATGGTTGATGCTGTACCATATTTTGGTGTTGTTGTGTTGGTTGCTGATCTTCAGTTGACTGGTTAGTACTCTTACGGCGATTAATCTGCACGGAAGGAAACTGTTGCTGATCTCTATGGTTGAACCCATGATTCTGCCTATTTAAGTGATTCGCCTTCTTCGCAGGCCCCATAGATCTGCGGAGAAGCTCCTGGTACTTATGGCAACCTTTATAACTAGCCATGTGATCGTGAGAACAGTGATAGCATGTGGGCAGAGCATCTACAGGACGTGTACATTGTGTGGTTTGGTGATTTTCACCACACCTGGCACAATTTGGATGTCTGCGGCAGTATTTAGCTGTATGGCCATACTCCTGGCAACGTCGACATTGTGCAATTTCACTAGACTTTCGCATCCTTTCGATCCGTATTTTCTGTCGGCAAAGGGTCTTCACGTGATAAATTTCATTAATATTAGGGCAGGGCTTAATGTTAATGAAAAAAATATTGAGTTTTTCATCTTTATTAACCCTTGAACTAGGGTTGTGAATGTGAAGTACTTCA